AGTAAGCATTCTCATACACTGATGGGGGTAGTGTGCTTTGAGGGGAGCCTCCTGGAAGGGAGTTTGGCAATAAGAAGGACTTGAGAATGAATATGTTCTTTGATGCAGCAACGTCATTTTCAGGGCTTTGTCCTAAGCAAATGACCAGTGATTTGAGTTACTATATGTGTGAAAAAGAAAGTAGAGGATTGGGCAAATACACTGTGGCATATCCATACCATAGAACATCAGATCAGTTGCTGTCCAGTACCAAACCCAAAACCAGTTGTTGTGAATTCCAACTCATGGCGACTCCATGTGTAACAGAGTACAACTGCTCCATAGGGTTTTCAATGGCTGTTATCTTTATGGAAGCAGATCTCCAGGCCTTTCTTCCATCTCACTGGTGGGATTCAAACCTCCAACTTCTTGGTGAGTAGCCGAGAGCAAAGCATTTGTGCCACCCAAGGACCTTGCCATCTAGTACAGGGCAATTAAAAGCACATTTTAGAAGAAGATTGGCTGACATAGGAGAATGTTCAAGATGAACTACCATGTGAAAGAGAAATGTTGCAGACAAGGATGTATCTCCTTTTTGTTTGTACATGTGTGCTCCCAAATGACTGAAAGGAGATTCATCAAAACATTAACAAGGATAAGTTATCCTGGGTGGTGAGATTATGGACATTTAATTTTTTCTTTGTGCTTTTCATTGTTTTCCAAGGTTTTACTGAGCAAGCATTGTGTAAATTAGGGGGAACAATGTCATTAAAAGTTGTTTAAAAGAGAAGTACTGGTTGATATGGGCCAACCACAAACAGACTTAACACTTTGATTTTAAACAGCTCCAACATTCTGATGCTGGCCAGTGCGAGTGGAGAGGTGACCACCCAAAGGTCCTAGGCTTGGATTGCCACTGTTTTGCCAGGTTTCAATGTGACCTGATTTCTCAGGATGAGGGCTGAGACCCTCAGCTCCAGGGCATTTCCGCTTTTGCTCTGCTTAGGTCTCTGGGTTACAGGCAGGAGAAGTAAAGGAAATGAGAACAAATCATTCTGCACCAGGAGGAGGAGGAAGGCCAAGGTACAAAGGAAGTGGTCCCGGATACCCGGCCCCTTGGCGTGGCTCATCTAGGCTGCCTCAGGCATCACCCCATAGAGAGAAAGTTGCCAGCATGGCCCAAACTCAGAGACACAGAACAACTTTATGAGCCTGCCACCAGACAGACTGCTCCAGAGGCGGAAGCACAGCAGTCTGCAAATAAAACCAGGGGACAGTTTACCCTGTGTGCTGAGTGCCCTGGAGCAGCTTTTGCAACCTGAAACTTGTTCGGGGGGAGGAGGGCTAAATGGTCATGGGGCCTGGAGGAGTCAATTTATTTTTCTTTCTTGATATAAAAAATTGTCTAAGAGATCTGAACGCCAAGCTGCGAAGCTAGTACTGAGAGTTCCCATATACCCCACACCCAGTTTCCCCTTTTACTAACATCTTACATTAGTATGGTACATTTGTCACAATTAATGAACCAATATTGATACGTTACCATTTACTAAAGGCCATACTTTATTTGAGTTTCCTTAGTTTCTACCTAATGTCCTTTTTCTGTTTCAAGATCCCATCCAGGGTATCACACTACATTTAGATTTAGTGGTCATCTCTCCTTAAGCTCCTCTTGGCTTTGACGTTTTCTGACTTCCCTTGCTCTTTGTTTTTTGGGATCTAATTCCCATACCATAAAAGTCACCCTTTTAGTGTACGGTTCAGTAGTTTTTAGTATATTCACAAAATTGTACAACCTTCAGCACTAATCCCAGGATATTTTTATCACCCCAAAAAGAAACCCTAATGAAAATACCTCTCATTTCATTCTCTTAATTGCTGAATATTTCTTGGTAAGCTTTAACAATATATCTATTTAAAAACCTTCAAAGGTTACTCTTTCGAGCCTGCTGCTTTCTGAATTACAAAAAGGGACCCCCCAGAAGGACCCAGAACTAGACTAGGATATGTATTTGGATTTCAGCCTCCAACCACCCCCCTTGGCAGCACGTTTGTGGAAGGCACAAACTGCAAAAGCCCCATTCCCGTTGTTCTTAAGGGCATCCTTTATATACTTGTAGAAGCTTCCATGATGGGGCTCTTGCCTATCCTCCAGCCATACCTCAACCTTCTACCCTTCCTCTCTACACCTCGGCAACATGAATAGGCTTTGCTTCCCACCTCAAAGCTTTCGTACGTTTTCTCTGCCAGTGCGGCCAGCTGACTTAGAAGATGGCCCCCAATGATCCCTACTTCCTTATATTCACGACTTTGTCTAGCCCCCAACACCCTGAGTATGGGCTGGAACTTTTGACTTGCTTGGAATGAATAGAATATAGCAAAAGTGATGGAGTATCAGTTTCAAGATCAGGTTATAAACGACTGTGACCTCTGTCTTGCTTTCACACTTTCTCTTTCTCACTTGCTCGCTCTGATGGAGCCAACTGTCATGTTGTGAGCTACCTACAGAGTGGCTCACATGGCAAGGAACTGAGGGAAGTTTTGGGCCAACAGCTTAGAGGAACTGAGGTCCTCAATTCAACAGCCTGCAAGGAACTGAATCCTGCCAACAGCCACTTGAATGATCTTGGAAGCAGATTCACCCCCAAGTTGAGCCTTAAGATGACTTCAGCCAAGGGCAATACTTTGATTGAAGCCTTTTGAGAGATCTTGAGCCAGAGGATACAACTAAGCTGCCCCCAGATCCCTGACCTACAGAAACTGGGAGATAATAAATGTTGTTGTTTTATGCCACCAAGTTGTGTAGTAATTTGTTATGCAGCAGTGAGTAATGAATACAGCCAGGAGTATTTCCCTCCCCACTTCCCACCTGTCTTACGTGTCTTCAAGTCTCAGGTTTAAATGCCAGTTCCTCAGGGATGACTTCCCCTTCCTCTGACAACCCCTCATGCACCATCAGATCTCTTCTTGTATACTCTCAGAGCACCTTCTTTTTCTCTTTTGCAGCACTTATCACTATTGCAAGTAATTCATTTTTTGATTAAGTATTTGGTTTATGTCTGTCTTCCCCCACGACTGTCAGTTCCGTGACAGAGCAGGCTATATTTTGTCCACCACTGAATTCCCAGAACCTAACATGGCGCTTAGCATAGAGTGGGGATACAGTACTTGTAGAATGTGAACAAGTGAATAAACGAATGAATTAATAAATGAAGTGAACCAAAGCCCCACAGTACAGAAAGGAAAGAGAGAAAAGTCCAATGTCCTAGGAAAGATAGTTACCAAAATCTCAGCAAAACCAGACTTTATTTTTAAAATACTGACTGAAAAAATAAACATGTCAACATACTCTAGATGAAAATCTGTTACAACAAAGTGCATTACAACCAAATTTTCTACATAAATAGACAGTCCAATAAAGATTGGCTGATAGTCCATGGCTTTTATAATCTGGGAAATCTTTGTGGCTTTAACAGGAGTTGTAATGGGAGTTGACCTGAATAAGAAAGGATCAGAGTGTGAAGGCAGAATGCATGTTAAACAGAAGCTGCCCCACATCATCTATAGGCTTGGACTGGTGTTCCTCTGCTCTTGATATTAAATCTGGGAAAGGCGTCCAGGTTTTTCGGTGAAGCAAGATGCTAAAAGGAGGACTTGGGCATTTGAGGATAATCCTGTGGTCACAGAAAGGCAAATTCAGTCTAGTTGTTTTGGTTGACTAAATGCCATCCCAGTATAGAACTCTTAGAATGCTAATATTCTATAATCAGCAGATTTGTATTCCATCTCGTGAACTGGTTTTATCAGCTGTTCACAAATCTTCACTGCCCACCAAACAACATCCAACTCACTCTCCGCTGGACATTAGGGACTCAACTGATCTTTCCAATTTGCTCTTCTATTGCTCCCCATGGCACAGCCTATGCTCTTGCCATTCACCAATCACAGGCACACTTTTCATCTCTGTTCCTTTGCACATGTTCTTCCTCTGACTGGAAGGCCCCCTTCAGTGCCATGCTATCTCTCCCAAGCCAAACTCAAATCCGAACTCTCTGGTGCCCCCTGGAAGTGACCATTCTACTGCCCTATCCTCTCAGAGCACTTTTTGTATTATATTTACCTCTTTTATGGCCTCTAACATATTCAATATTGTATTGTGACCATGCATGTATCTTATCTTCTCTACTACACAGATCATATCCTCCAAGTTGATGATCTTTTTCCCTACATAACCTACCCTGGGCATTTGGATGGACTAAAGGCTTAACACATATTTGTTGTTAATTGAATAAATGAAAGAATGAGTGAGACATATATGTTAAAAGGCTTCTAAATGAACCAGATATAATTCATATCACAATGCCAATAATAATAAAGCCATAAAAAAAATAAGCTAGCTGCTGTTGAGTTAACTTTGACTCATGGCAACCCCACGTGTAGCAGAGTAGAACCGTGCTGCATAGGGTTTTCAATGGCTGATTTTTCAGAAGTAGATCACCAGGTCTTTCTTCAGAGGTCCCTCTGGGTGAACTCAAACTTCCAACCTTTTGGTTAGCAGCTGAGTATGTTAACTGTTTACACCACCCAGAGACATTAATTTAGCCATAGGAGTAGATTTAATGTTAAAAAGGTTTTAATTTGCCTTTTTGATTATGAAATTTTGTTTTCAATACCACCAAAGATGCTCTCTCAGAAGGCAAAAATGAACTCAGAAATCTGAATAAATAGAATGTTTATTTACTAGTCCACTGAGTAAACGTTCTAATGTATTAGTCTAGTCACATAGAAGCCAAAGAAGTACATAAATAACAATGGAAACTATTAGAAATAGGAAAATGAGCTTTTAAAGAGCTTTCTGGAATTCTTCAATAGTCTATTATTGAACTTTTAACAAAATAATTTAAACAATTTTAAAAAGCTTAACAATAATAACAAATATTAGACTTAAATAAAGTGTTCAATCAAAGTAGTTTATTTCAAATACAGTGACTTAATTATGGAAATGGAACGTACCAGATTATTTAGAGTGTCACTTGAGAGGATAGTGCTCTTAAGGCTAAGTCCAGCGTGCTCTGAACTCTGGTATTATTTCTTTCTACCACGGAAGAATGTCTCCGAGACGGTTTTGCAGTTTCTTCTGGTTCAAGAGGTTGAAGCGTATGGGGGTTAAACAGACATCGAGGCTCCCCTAAGATGCCAACTCTGTGAAAAGAATTATTGGTACAGCTGAAGCATTGAGGCCAAAGAATGAGGTATATGGTTGTGCGTGTATGTATACTAAAGCTGTGTATACTAAATAGCATCGCCTGTTTCCATGAGCCACCACTTGTAGTCTTACATATGGGTCCAAAAACTCAATCCACAGCAAGATTTTGTACAGGGCCTTTCCTCACTGCCCAAAGATGATTATTGCAATAGGAAACTTCGGCCATAAAAAGTCTGTTACTCACTCCTCCAAACTAGAACTATTTGGAATCGAGCATAACTTTCTAGCATTTATTTTCTTGTCTAGATGGGTATACTTACAGGCATCTGGAGAGGAAACAGACAGAGGGGAGCAGGGGCTAAGTAGGAAGACAGGTGTTTTCATCTTTGTTCAACTTTCTGACAGAAGCATAGGTCTGACCCCTCCCCTCCCTGGCCTGACCTAGGAAGCGACCCTTAGGGCCCTTCAGCGTCTCTCCTCCGGCCACTTACACTGGCATGGCAACAGAGTCCAGGCTCTCTAAGTGCTTTTGGATCTTGGCTGGAAGTTTGATGCCTCCATGGTGACACTTTTTCTCAAAGATATTCTGAGCTTTTTCTCTGGGAGAAGGCAGCAGAGTAGACAAGACAGGAGAGCGCATGTTAATGGCTTTTTTAATTGCTGGGCGCTTCGCCATCATTCTCCTGTGGGGAGGAGGTGACGTTTAGGTTACATCATCCTGTTTTCTAGAAATGTCCTTGAGCTTAGCAAAGAGTCAAAAGGTCATACCTGAATTGCACAAAAGTCATGCGTTTCTTTTCTCCTCCTGATTCTTCATCCTCACGCTTCCTTCGAGGAATGTTGAACATATCGGTACGAAAGAGTCTCCCTATTTCTTCTTCAATATCAGTCAAGTGTTGACGTCTGAAGACAATCCAGGCTATGTATGCACAGAAAGTATAAAAGGACTAGGACGGAAAATGGACAAGAATCACAATCCACAGCAATGATATGAAAAGCTCCCCACCAGTCTACATAACACTGCTAAAACCAAACAAAACCAGTTGCTGTCAAACTGATCCCGACTCATGGTGACCCCATGTGTGCAGAAAGAACTACGCTCCATAGAGTTTTCATGGCTATGATCTTTCAGAAGCAGATCACCAGGCCTTTCTTCTGAGGCACCTCTGGGTGGGTTTGAACTGCCAACCTTTCATTTAGTAGTCAAGTGCTTAACTGCTTCACCACCCAGGGACTCTACGTGATACTGCTAAGTACACTCAAACCCAGATAGCCCAATTTCTCAAAATTCTCAGGATGTTGTGGAAAATTATACATGTATTCACCTTTGCAGAAGGAAAATCAGACCAAAAATTTAGGGTCTAGCATATAGCTTGTTAACATCCTTTTTAGAAAGGACATTCACTAAAAAAAAAGTGACTGACAAGTGGCTATTGGCTATTGCTACACTTTGTGTCTCATATCAAATAGAAAAGCCTCAAAACATAAATAACTCACCTCAAAGAATTTCCAGTCTTTTTGTGTATCTGATATTTTCTCCCTGCAATATAACAAACCACAACTATAGCTTGAGGGGAAAGTTCAATCTTTCAGTGATCTAGACAAGCCCTTATTGTCCTCAAAAGGCCTCTTTGCAAGATCATCACCCCAAGATTATTTGAAAGACATAAATGCTATCAAAAGGAATTGATAATGAGTCTCAGTATTTTTTTCTTCAACTTTTAGGTTACCCAAAAGTTAAATCAATATAAATTCAGCATAAACAAGCCAGAGAGGAAATATATTTTTGCAGATCCTTCTGGTGATGTCAGTGCTAGGGAAGTAATGAGTGTGGAAAAGTGGTGAAGAGGTAACACAGGGTATTAAGTAGGTATGGAAATAAAGAACTAGCAGATAAGTCTAAAATGAAGAAAAAGAAATCTTAAACAAAGGTATGGCTATTGAATGCCAAAAGAAAACTGACAAAGGTCTATGCCATGTAATCAATAAACAGAACAGTTGTGTGCTCCTCTTTTTGAATGACGTACTTAGACTTGTGCCTTATCTCTTAAAAGTAGGCATTTGCCCAGGAGTTCCTGCAACACAAATTCAATATTAAGGATACTGCACGGGCATGGGCACACTCAGCAAACTTGGCCTCCCCTCCCCAACACAGGCCATTTTGATTCTGATTCCCAGCCTTAAGAAAGCAGGCATGCCTTCATCCATTGCTGGTAAAAGTGTAAAATGGTATAGCCACTGTGGAAAAAGTTTTGGCGGTTAAGCAGAATTACCATATGATCCAGCAACTCCACTCCTGAAGGTATATACCCAAAAGAATTGAAAGCAGGAACACAAACAGATACTTGTACAGCAATGTTCATTGCAGCACTATTCACAATAGTCAAAAAGTGCTAATAGCCTAAATGTCCCTCAACAGATGAATGGATAAAAAAATGTGATACATATATACCATGGAATACTACTCAGCCATAAAGAGAAATGAAATCCTGATATGTGCTACCACATGGATGAACCTTGAAAACATTATGCTGAGTGAAATAAGTCAGTCACAAAAGGACAAATATTGTATGATCCCACTTACATGAAATAGCTAGAATAGACAAGTGTATGCAGATCAAAGTTAACTAGTTGTTACCAGGGGTGGGCGGGAGGAAGGCGGAAAGGAAGACACAATGCTTGAGGGACACAGAGCTTCTGTTAAGGGTGATGGTATAATTTGGGAACAGATAAGAGTGAGGACTGAACAACTTGATGAACATAATTAATGTCACTGAACTGTACATGTGAATACTGTTGAAATGTCATTGTTTTGTTCCATATATATTTACCACAATAAAAATAAAGCTGAAAAAAGGATAAAGTGGGCATGGCCTATGAAGGCCTTGCAAGTTGACTGAGGGGCCTGTGCATCTGCAGTCACTAGATCAGTCATGGGGGCAAAGGCCAAATGACAGGGACTCTAAGGTTTTGCTTCTGCTATTGCTTGTGCCTTCCCCGGAGTTAACGGATTCCTAGGATTGGCCCTGGTAGCAACTCTTCAGAACTATCCTAACTCCCATCGTCTGGGGAAGATGACCAAATCCCTCAGGACCTCCAGCCTTCTTATAGGGATATCATGGTCTCGGTGAGCCCAAACCAGCCCTCCATTTGGGGGATGAGGCTGAAGAGGTGGTTCAGCTTTTACTAGGGCTTGTCCCTCCCCTCCTGCAGTCTCTCTTTTGGTTTCCTTGCGCACAGTCTTCAATAAAGAACTAAGGCAAGAGTAATTACAGTGAAGAGTTACTAAGTGCTGACTATATGCCAAGTACCATGCTAAGCCCTTTACACATATCATCGTATTTAGTGCTCATAATATCCCTATGATGTAGCTGGCATTTTTATTCCCACTTTACCAGTTGCTGTCTAGTTGGCTCTGACTCATGGCGATTCCATGTGTGTCAGAGTAGAACTGAGGTCCGTGGGGTTTTCAGTGGCTAATTTTTCAGAAGTAGATGGTCAGACCTTTCTTCCAAGGTGCCTCTGGGTGGACTCGAATCACTAACCTTTTGGTTAGCAGTCGAGTGCTTTAACTATTTGCCCCATCTAGGCACTCACCCCATTCCCACTTTACAGGTGAGGAACTAAAGTCAAGACAGATTAAATACTTGTCCAAAGATACATATTTACAATAAAAAAAATAACAACATTAAACAGGACATTAACTAAGAAAGCAAATATATATATATTTATTTATCTGCTTTCTTTAGATAATGTCCTGTTTAATGTTATTTTTCCTACAATCTTCACATGTAAAGTTCAGTAACATTAATTATGTTCATCATGTTGTTCAACCGTCAATATTAACTGCTGCCAAATTTTTCCATTATGCTTAGCAGAAGCTCAGTGTTTCCTAAGCATTGTGAGAAAGACATATATTTAGTTAGGAGCAAAGCCTGTACTAAAACTTAGGCCTGTCAGAGACCCACATCTGTCCTTGTAACCAGACTGATAGGAAAAGAAGCTTTTTCTTTAGAATATTTGATGGTAAAAATATTAAACAACTACAGTCCAGTAGAAACTTTTCAGGACAAGCATCCGCATTTCTTCTGTGCCACCTGGGACCTCTGACAGGAGTGCTCATGTGGTTATTTCCACCCTTCCACTTCCTTGGCCAGCTGAAACCAGAGAACTTGCAGACCTGTAAAACTGAAGTGCAGACCAACTGAACCATGTTTCTGGAATACCAAGTCAGCTTGCATTTTGGGAGAAGGTTTAGGAACACTTACAATAGCATAACCTCAACCAGCTCTATCTCAGCAAAGTTCTGGACCAAGAGAGTGACAACACAAGAAACACTTTCTGTCCTTTTCTTTCTTCTTCTCTTTTTAAACATGAAGTGTAAAAGAAGAGGAGATAACATGAATCTCCTCCCTTTTCCCTCAAGTTGTATAAACACTGGATCTTCTTTATCTTTTTAAGCCTAAAGCAAATTGATGTAGCCCATGCAACAGAAATTAAATACAAAATGTAATGGGTTTCCTCCTGCCTTTCTGACTTAGCGCCACATGAGAAATTAAAAGGAAGCCAGGAAATGGATGCAAAGAATGAATACCTTTGGAAATCTCATAGTTTAAACCTCTGCAAATCCATCTTTTGCTGGTGGGTTTTCAGTAATTTTTATTTTTGTATTTTATAATTTGTATATTAAGTACATAATACTTAATATAAACTGATTATAAATTTACATTTTTATTTACAGGTTATAAACAAAATTTAAGCCTAAAAAAATCCTGCAAATTCAAACAGTTTAAAACAGTGCAATCAAATAGAAATATAATTGCAAGTCACAAATGTAATTTTAAATTTTCTAGTGGCTACAGTAAAAAACTAAAAAGAAACAGGTAAAATTAATTTTAACAATATTTGTTTTCAACATGTAATCAATATTTTAAAATTATTAGTGAGATATATATTATTAACTTTTAAAAGCTTTTTTTATACTGTCTTTGAAATACAGTATATATTTTATACTTACAGCATGTCTCGATATAGACTAGCCACATTTCAAGTACTCAGTAGCCACATGTGGTGAGTGACTACCACGCTGGTCAGCAAAAGTTTTTAAGAAGTTCTACATTCCACCATTGAGGGCTGTAGGGTTTACAATTAACTTTACTCAAAGAATTTGGTCCTCATCCTTGGTCCTGAGAGATGACCTCTAAAGCCTTGGATTTTCTCTAGTGATTGGAATTTTTGTTTTCCATGACGGCCCCAGACCACACATGAGAGTTTATGCTAATAAGGTGACTCCTGGGTGGGGGTTGGCCAGGCCAAAAAGACCTACCACATGATATTCGGCTGACTTCAGGGGAGCAGGGCTAGAGGTTGAGTTTAACCACATGGGCAATGATTAAATCAATCATGCCTACATAATGGAACCCTCATAAAAGCTCTGGACAGTGAATCTCCATGAGCTTCCTGGCTGATGACAGACATCGATGGATGGGGCAGGGTAGCCCGATCTTTGGGACACAGAAGCTCTGTGTTGGGAACCCTCCCAGATCTTGCCCTATGTGTCTCTTCTTTATGCTGGTCCTCATTTGTAGTCTTTTTGCTATAATAAAACTGTAGTCTGAAGTATAGTGCTTTCTTGAGTTCTGTGAGTCATTCTAGTGAATATCCAACCTGAGGGAGTAGAGGGAGGCAGGAAGTCAAAAGTGAGCATGGTCCTAGGGAACCCCTGAGCTTATGGCTGGCATCCTGAAGTGGTAGAGGGAACAACCGAATTTGTAGCCACCAGGTCATAAGTGAGGGTGTCACGAGAACTCCTAAGCTTACACTGGTGTCTGAGTTCTTGGGCATGCCTGGCAGTCTGGAGGGCTGTGCCCTTTAACTTCTGAAAGCTAATCTAGCTCTGGAGGTCAGGGTCAGAGAAGAAGCACTGTGTTTACAGCTGGTGTCAGAACAGAATTGGATTGACTTATTCACTTAAGTGTAGAATCCAAAGGAAGAGAAAAACCTGCTTGGTGGCAAGTCCCAAAATTTTTAGTGGCTTGTTTTGATGCTTTCCTATTCCTTCTTGTTACTAGACTCTTAGCTCCACACCAAAATGAGGAAGGTACCTTATACTTTTAGTCATTCCTAAAAGGGATGTGAAGCCCAGAGAGAGGCCCATAGGGCTCTGGGCTGGGGAGAAAAAAACAAAAAGTTTTGTTCCTGCTTGCCACCCACTACTTTAGGTAAAATCAAGTTCAAGTGAACGGCTGCCCTGTGCAAGGGAAAAAAGGTTTCAAAGGGATGTGTTTGGGGGGAGGAAAAAGAGAAAGATCATAGGCCTTTGCCTTGGTGCATGGGACTAAGGGTGGGGGCAGGGGAATAGGGCTTAAGGATGATTTATACACCTGAGCTTCAAAGACACCACCTTCTTCCCACTCCCCTTCCACCTCTAACCTCTTTGGTCACCTATCAGGTGACAGCTGCATTGAGAGCAGAAGGTACAAATCCTATGGTGGGGTAGGAGTAGAGCCAGAATTGGCCATAACCAAAGAACATATCTAA